ATAGAAGCTGGAGAAAGACTACCGACATTTGACCATTCTGATTATAATTGTATTGTGTTTGATGAGCTAGGTATGGCGGGCAATTATATTTTGAACAGAGTTAGGGAGTTTAAGGATACGTACCCAGAGAAGATAATTATAGGAACTGCTGACGGGAAGCAGTTGAAACCTATAGCTGATTTAACTAACACCCAGGACCACGAGACATATTTAAACAACTGTCTTAATCAAATATTTAAATATAAGATTTATCTTAAGATATCTAAGAGACTTAAGACAGAAGAAGATAAAATTAAGTTGAATGATATATATAGTGACATTTGGAAAAATAAACTGCCCATTAAGGAAATAGTAAATAAACATTTTGAAACTACAAGCGACATCATGGAAGGAGAGCATAACATAGCCTACACTAATGCTAGGTGCAAATGGGTAAGCAAGACCGTAAGAAATAATTTAGGAAAGACAGATAAATATGAAATTGGAGAGCATGTGATATGCAGAGTTTATAAAAAGGAAATGGGGCAGGTGTTTAATGTAAATATTACTTATGAAATTATTAGTATTGATGATTGGAAAGTAGAAATCCAAGATATCAAAAGTAAAATTATATTCATGACAAACACCACGACTTTAGATAAGCACTTTATACATGCGTATTGTGCTACATGTCATTCGTCTCAGGGGGCTTCTACAAATAAAAGCATTACTATACACGAATGGGATAAATCACATTTGGTCAGCCGTGAGTGGATTTGGACAGCCCTCACGAGATGCAGATATATCAATAAAGTCAAGTTTTTCAAAGCAGACGTAGATGATACTGATTTAAATGAAGCACAAGTAACCAGATATTTAGAACATAAGATTAAACAATATAAATTACAAGACATGAAAGCAGAGAGAGAGATAGACAACAAACAATATATTGATGTCAAATGGTTATTTGACAGGCTTAATACCAGATGTAATAAATGCAGTTCAGATTTTGACATAGAAATAAATAATGGAGTAATAAATAGCAATATGACAGCCCAAAGAATAAACAACGATTATGCCCATCATAAGGAAAACTGTATATCTTACTGTTTAAACTGTAATCGCCGGGAAAAATAATATCTATCTTATTTTATATGGCATCTAAGCAAGATATTATTAATAATGTTTATTATGATAAGGGAGGCTTCGGGTCAAAGAACCGCACTTTACAAGAAGCAAGAAAAAAGGATAACACAATAACTATAAACGATATTAATGAGTTTTTTAGGAAGAATGTAGAACAGAAAGCCAAGCCAAGAGGACAGAATTCATTTGTAGCTCCTAACGCATATTATGAGTTTCAAATTGATTTATTTTTCATTAATGATATCCCTAAACAAAAAATGAAAGTTGGTATGATGTGTATTGACATATTTTCTAAGTATATGGTTGTTGTCCCGCTTATGTCAAAACAGCCAGCGGACATTTTAGCAGGACTGATGGAATGTATTAAAAAAATGGATGGAAAGCCCAAACTAATTTATATTGACGACGAAGGAGCTTATAACAATCAAAGTGTTATAGATTTCTTGAAGGATGAAAAAATAGAGCTGCACAGAACCAGAGGTCACCCAGCATTCGCGGAGAGGGCGATAAGGACGTTTAAAGATAGCTTGTATAAGAGGGTTGAAAACGATGAGAAAAAAGGAAAGGTTATTCAATGGACAGACTACATACACGAGATTATATTAACTTATAACAATGGAATAAAGCACACTTCGCACGGCTTAACACCGTCAAAAGCAAGAAAGCCTAAACATCAATTAGAAGTGAGTTTAAATTTAGGTATGAAAGCCAAAAGAAATAGAGTTTATCCAGATTTAAATGTAGGAAATGAAGTTAAGATATTCAGGAAAAGGAGACCGAATGAAAAGGAGAGAGTAGGAGTATGGACTAAACAAACATACAAAATAGCAAAGATTGAAAAGAAGTTAGGACAGGAATATTATTATATTGAAAATTATGACAGGGCATTTTTGAGACATGAGTTATTAAAGGTATAAATTTATTTCTTGGAAAAAAGTATTTAAAGAAATAAAAACTATATATATATATAATAGAAATGATGGAAACCGAAATCAATAATTATATCAATAAGAAATGCTACGATTGTTGCCACTTCAAAAAGGAAAATATGGAATTATATAAATTGAATTTACCTAATGGAATAGTTAATAATATTATTGATTATTCAATGGATGAAGAAGATATATGCGAAAATTGTAAAACCTGGAGAGATAATCAAGAATTAATCAGATGTCATTTAAATCTGAAAAGAAGACATAATAGAAATGTTGAAGACAACATTATAATATTTTTAACTGTGTATGAAAGACCACCTTATAGTTATGTTAGAATATTTCTCAAAATCAGTAAGAAAAAGTATGATCTGATTAACCACATTTTATGGATATTGTTACATCGTAGAAGAGAAGGGGCTGATGTAAAAGAAGACATTAAATCAGAAATTGAAAGCAAAAAGTTTAATGTGAAAAATACCGTGAGAGATATTAATATTATTTTTGAACTGATGCATGACAGACATAAGATATATACACAATTTAATAATCATCAATTAACTTATTATCCTGAACTTAAATTATAATCATAATATAATAATAACATGTAAACTATTATATGTTATAATTATATTTCAATATGTAATTTTATTTCTTGTAAAAAAGTATTTAAATAAATAAAAACTATATATATTATAATAGAAATGATGGAAACCGAAATCAATAATTATATCAATAAGAAATGCTACGATTGTTGCCACTTTAAAAAAGAAAGTATGGAATTATATAAATTGAATTTACCTAATGGAATAGTTAATAATATTATTGATTATTCTTTGGGTAAAGAAAATTTATGTAAAATTTGTAGAAATTGGAGATATTACCAAGAAGCAATCGAATGTAATTTGGATATTAAAAGGTTTAATGAAAGAAATGTTGAAGATGACATTTTGATATTTTTTACTGTGTATAAAATACCACCTTATGATTATGTTAGAGCATTTATGAAAATCAGTAAGAAAAAGTATGAAATAATTGACTACATATTATGGATGTTGGAGTATCAAAGAAAAGAAGGGTTTGATGTAAAAACAATCATTAAATCACATATTGAAAGTGAAAAGTTTAATGTTAAAAATACAGTGAGAGATACTTAAAATGATGTATGAAAGAGGTAAGATGTATCAATTAAATTATTATCCTGAACTTAAATTATAATCATAATATAATAATATGTAAAATATTATATGTTATAATTATATTTCAATATGTAATTTTATTTCTTGTAAAAAAGTATTTAAAGAAAGAATCACTATATATATTACAGTGGAAATGTTATTTAATTATTCAAAGTGCGAATGTTGTACAACTAAAAGGAATGATGTTAATATAACATTGTATAAGTTATTACCCGCCAATCTATGTAATAAAATAAGTGAATATGATGTATATTGTAATCAATGCTGTATAACAAGAGACCTTGAAAAGTTTTTTGTTGAAGAACATAAGGATAAGGGATATACAAAGTTTCAATTACAATTGAAATTCTTTATGAGATATCAAAAACGATTTCCTGTATGTGTTTACCATAAAATTGCTAGAAAGTCATTTGAACAAGAAATTGATGAGTTCTTTAATAATAAAGATTTAATTAAGAGGTTTGGAGGGGCAAACGCAATTAAACCATATAAAGCATTCGTTAAAAAATTTCGAGACATGTTTGAAGCGATTGATTGGCATTTATTAAGTAAAGATAAAATAAACGAGGTCTTGAATGAATTTAGAATAACTAAATATCATGTATGGTCTTACTACAACACTAAATATCAAGTATGGCTACTAGTTAATTTGTTTTTCTGGGAATATATTTATTCAATAATAGGAAAAGACAATATCAAATATATAGACATTGGCGATATTGATAAATATGTAGATTACATATTTGAAGACATTTTTCCTGACTATAAATGTAACCCATAATTATTAATCATACTATAATAATAACATTTATACCCTTATATGTTATAATTATAATGTAAGTATAGCGTTTTATATATTGAAGATAAAATCCTACAAGGGACACGCGAGCGTTAGCGAAGCTCGCAAGCTATGCGACCACGCCCCAAAAAAATATATGATGAAACTGATGAAACGAAGGAGGGAGTGATGTTGTTGCTGTTCTATTTTTTGTCCGGGAAATGGACAAATCGTTTTTAGACAGTTCGAATATTTTTTTGATGACAAATATTTTTTGCAATATATTTTGCAAAATTTCTTTTTTTGAAATGGATGAGGTGAGGAGATTGAGGAAATGACATTTTGGAGGGTAGTTGGTGAAATGAATGAGGCGAGGAGGAAGGAGAAAAGGATGGCGAAAATTTTGGAAAAATGATGATAAAAAAACGGATGAGATGGACAGAAAGGAATGTAGAAAAATGATGAAAACAAATAAGGGTAGAAGATGGAAGATGAAAAAAAATGTAGGGGGGGGTGTATGTATGAAAGCAATTTATTGCTGGGCGTGGCCCTCGACTACTAATTGAGCACTCTCTCTTGATTAGGGTTTTCACTTCACCAAAGGACCAAGACAAGTTAATCTGTTGGAGCCACGACGTGAAGGAAAGGCTATGGTGAAGAAGTCGGCTTCGGACACTTTCCCTCAAACACCCCTTGAGAGGCAAAGTGCGTTTCTTGTCTTGTGTTAACTCGGTTGCTGTCTGCTCCCCTGCCAAAAGTTTAACTTTTAGTGGTTCAATGGAAAACCCATTGGTTGGCAAAAAGTTCAAGCCCTAACATCCGAGCAACATGCACCAAAGGCTTCGTGTCTTGTGTAAACACTTCCAGGAAATGTTCGCCAAGGGGCAATTGTCAAACGGCACCTCCTGGGCCCCCCATGAGAAGCTTTTGGCGCCTTACAGCGACTTGCAGTGACACCCCCGGCACCTCAGTCGCAGGCTCCGAGCAGTAGAAAAGCTGCCGCGCCTGAGCTGAATGGGCTGCCTTCCCCGAGCAAAAGGACCCTGGATTTGTTTGTAGGGTCAACGGAAAGGCCATTTGCTCCCAAGAGCCCAGGGACGATTCCGTCAAACCAGGCATGATGCACGAAACTCAGCAGGTGTGAACCCTGGACTATCTGTTTCTTTCACCTTCGCTCTATCCCATCCTCTTTATTGGTCCAGCCGCTGTGGCACAAGGCTTATTATATGAAGTATGGCTTAAACACACATGCAGCATGGGCCCATAGTATGGGGTCCATGCCTCAAAGGAGCAGAGTTTCCCTTAGCCCAACCACACCAACCGCCTCTTTGGCAACTCACTCAACTCACTCAACTCCCTGCCTCTGGCGAAATATATTTCAGACCACCTTCCGAAGCACGACGCTGCATGTTATGTTGAGAATCACTCCAGGGCATTGCGCCGACCCCAGAATAGCTGGCTGAAGCTCACAATGACCCCGAGAAAAAACCATCCCCTATGGTTTTCTTTGAGGGAAAGGGTCAATCCCTACTGAAAAACCATCCCCTATGGTTCCTTTAAGGGAACCCCGGGTCATTCCCTACTGCGCACCAGCAAAACCAACTCAATCGACTGGGACTCGATCAGACCGGCCTCTGCTGGCAGCCCCGGGCGGAGCTCGTTCCCGTGCACCTCGCGAGCAAGGATGCCTTCGCCTAGGTCCTCCAGTTCGAGGTTAGAATAAGTTGGTACCCGATTTGCTTGCTGTAGTCTATTTTAGTAGGGGAACCCTCCCCCAAAAAGGGGAGAGAAGAGCACTACTGGGGGACCTAGTAGCCTAAGGTTGTTCAACCTACTGAATTCAAGACAAGAACAACTACCCTCCCACCAATCAACATGGAACCCGACCGGGGGTCAGGGCCATGGTCTTTGTAAAGGGACCCCCAACGTCAGGTTCCATGACAATTGGTGGGAGGGCAAATGCACAAACACATGAACACAAGTAAAAAAAACTAGATGGATGAATTAGGTATACTCACGCATTCACAAACTCCTTTAATTACCCACTCACTTACTTGCTTCCTTGCTTGCTTAATTAACTAGCTGATTTTTGCATTTACATCCTTACCACATGTTGGCTCACTTCTTTGAACATCCATGCATCCATGCATCCAACCATCCATCCATGCACGCAGGGCCGTGTGCATGCACGCGCGCGTGCATTCATGTTTTATTCATTCATTAATCCATCCACTTATTTCAATTTGTGTCATCTCATTTCATGTCAGTTCATTTCATGTCATTTCATGTCATGTCATTTCATTTCATGTCATTTCATTCAATGTATTCATTCCTTCATTTCATTCATTCCATTCATTCCATTCGTTCCACGAATTCACCTCATTCCATTCATTCAATTTCATTTTACTCCATCCCATCCCATCCCATCCCATCCCATCCCATCCCATCCCATCCCATCCCATCCCCTTCCTTCCTTCCTTCCTTCCTTCCTTCCTTCCTTCCTTCCTTTCCATTCCACATCATTCCACTCCATTCCATTTCATTCCATTCCATTTCAATTCATTTCAGTCATGTCATTTGTACTATTTCTGCCTTTCTTTCCCTGTTTCATTCCATGTCATTCCGTTTCATGTCGTTTCATTTCACATGTCATTTCATTCCATCCCAACCTGTATAATGTGTAGAAGGCCTTCCAATGGCTAACTGTAGAACCCGTAGAGCACACCTCTGGAGACGTTCGGCTCAAAAACCTGAAAGCCTCCCGAGAGCCTTTGAGGCTCCAACCATAGTCCGAGGGATCCGACCCCGACGGATCCGTCCTTTTTGGGGAAAATAGATGGCCCTGGTTGATGCAACCACCAGGTAAACCAGGAATCGCCCTCTATTTTTCCACCAAATCAACCAAAAAGGACACCTATGGTCGAGGGATCGAGGCGAGGCATCCGCCGAGGCATCCGAAGCGCGAAGCGCCTCGAGGCAGTAGAGGGCCTCTGGCGCGGCCACGGAGGCGGAGCTGCGCCAACGGCCTGCCACCATGCCCGCGGGGACCTGCAGCTCCTGGCACAGGGCTGGGAGGGAGGGACCGAGGCGCAAGCGGTTTTTCCGAGTCGGTGGCTACTTGGCTACTACCCAGACAAAAAGGGAAGTTCACCAACCAGTCTATTTGGGGGGCTACCCAGAAAAACGGGGAGTCACCCCAGAAAAAACGGGGAGTCACCCAGAAAAAAGGGAAGTTCACCAAACATATTCTTTGGGGGCTACCCAGAAGAATGGTGGGCGTCACCCTGAGAATCTTTTTCGGCAATCACCCAAATTCACGCGTTGGTAGTTTGAGGGTGGGATAAGAGGTGATCACCCTTTGGAACCCTGACGAAATCTGGACATCTTGGAACCTAACCCAAATGCTGAGAAAAAGACTAAGAACAAAAAATAACAGGCAAAACTATCAAAAGCCAGTGCAAGCTAAGCTAAACCGGTAAGACAGTGCCAAGTAAACCTAAGAATAGCTACGCAAAGCCAAGAGAAGCTGTCCGCAATCCTTGCAAATCTGAGAAAAGCAAAGGGCAATCCGAGCACACATGAGACAAGAGATACCAGGCAAAGCATTCAAATTTTTGGGATCATGGCCGAGGAAGGCTTGCTTGCGGTCCTTCTGGTTGATGGTCTCCTCCAGGTCATCAAAGGGCCTTGGAGTTGCAACTCAGGACATGTTCAGCCAAGAAATGTCAAGATGAGTTGCTGCCACGCTCGATCCCTACCGAAAACAACGCCTTGCCTGCCCCTTATGGCGCCTGCCCCCCCAAATGAGCACCTTCCATCTCATTTCACCCCGCAGGTGAGCTCGCGATCTCTCCGGTTAGAGTCCTTCGCCGTGCTTCCACTTCACCTCTGGCCGACGCCGTCGGGCCTGCGTTGCACCCGCCTCTTGCGGGTTCCTGACATTCCCCCTCTGAGCATCCAAGCGGAAACTCAATCAGAAACGGTCCAAATCAAGCGGACTGGCCAAAAAACATGTCAAAGCTTTTGGGTCTGACCCTAAAACATGGTCTTCCCGAAAAGTATAAAGCTCAGAAACTCAAGGAACGAGCCACACCAGGCTGAAAGCAACAGTTCGGGTGAACCCACAAGCAGGTCAAACCATGAAGATGCTTCAACTTCAGAAATGGTCCAAACTCACCAGCCAGAGGCATGCGCAAACAAACACATAAGCATGCTCAAACATAACAACAGAGACAAGCACACACACGAAACAACGAACAAGCAATCTATATATATATATATATACAAACCTGTATAGGGAGATCCACACACATATTTCTTGTCTACGCACAGACATACCCGTGTACACATACATGCATGTGTATAAATACATATATATATATATGTGTTTATGTGTGTATGCATCTGTATAACAAAAAACTATGTATATATATATATACATGTATATACGCGCAAATAAAGACATGTGAACATATGTACTAGTCTATACTAGGTCCAGTAGATAATTGGGGTACCCTTTTTTTTCTGTGATCTAGTTTTAGTCGGGGAACCCTCCCCCAAAAAAAGAAACGGTAAAAGGGCACCTAGCTGGGGGACCTAGTAAATGTATCTAGACAAGTCGACCCCTGGCCCGTACCCTGAGCCCAGCGCCCTCTCTGCGTCCCTTGCGCCGGCCCTTGCGCTGCCGGCGCCGCTTGCGCCGCGGGGGGCGCTTGCGCGGTGCCGTAGGCGGTGGGCAACGCCATGACCGCGGGGCTGGGGCCCAGGACCTGCCGAGTTCGTCTGCCCAGGTGGAGGGACAGCCCTGCTTGGGTTTCGAAAAGGGGGACATGGAGGAAACCAACTGAAGATCTGGCTTTCCTTTTCAGGTTCGGATATTCTGCAATCAAATCAACGTCGCATCCCAGATTCTGAGTTCAAGGTAAACTCCAGTTGACTGTGAAATGTCCAGGAGTGAAAATAAAACACCCAGCTGTGTCAAAGAATGGCCTGATAGAAAAACAACCGCCTGGAAAAAGTAATCCTCCAATTGGTTTTTTCGCCCCCTGGGAAAATGAGAGCATATGTTTCCTGTGGTGAAATCGGTTGCCTTTGAGAACAAGGGAAAACAAACATGTTTAAGCAAATGGAAGTGATCCTCGGGAAAGACAAAAAACAAGCTAACTTTCTGCAAGCTGGTGAGCGGCTGCCATTGCCAAGAACTTAAACTGCCAAGAACTTAAACATGGGTTTGGCCAACAGCTCCCGAACATTGTCCCGCCGGGAAGATATCACAAGAGGAGCAAGATCTCCAAACCTGACATGCCGACCGCTTTTGGCCCAACGGTATCCGAAAATGACTGCGAAACCGACGAGCAAGGTAGGGAGATCCTAAATCCTCAGCTTTTGCCACATAGGTTTGGTTCTGGCCCCTAAATCGACGAACAGATAACGTGCCAAGCAACAAAGGGAGATCCCGACCGCCGGGGGCTGAGGCATCGCTTCCATGACGCCAGACGAGCAAGCAAAGATCGCGGCGTCTCGTGTTTAAAAAAAGCATGCCTCGAATTGGAAGACGACAAAGGGCTTGCGGCTGTCCTGGCCGGCGACCTGGCCAACGCGCGCGCACTGACGCCCCTTCCGGGAGCTTTGGTGAGGATCGTCTTTGGGGTGGGTTCGGCCAAAGGAGCTGCCGATTTTTCGGGAACCTGAATTGTCATGGACGCCCATGAAGGAGAGCTACATGAAAAGTCAGAGCACGAACGAACGCCTGCCATTTATAGAGGAACCCCGCTCTTTTCACGCCTACAAGGGCTTTTCGGCGGACCTGGCCCTCAACGGCTAGTCTTGGGCTCTGGGCCCAAGGGACCGGGGACCGGTTTCTCGAAAAAACCGCACACGCGAGCCGAGGAGACACATCCAGACGAACGCCTTTGGGAGGTCTGGGTGACCCAGGGTTCCAACTTGGATTGAGGCGTGTCTGGGCGTGCTTTGTGCTTTAGGCTCGCTACGTCTCCTTACCCTGGTTTGGGGTGGTTTGAGAGCTTGGGTGGGCCCCCGGACCCAAAAAAACAACTCCCCCAAAGGTTTCGGGCCAGACTTAAGCGGCTCAACTTGACTGCCAAGGGGGCATGCAGGAATGCCAGAAATGAGGAGCGCGATAGGGCAAGTCACTGGAAAATCGGAGTGTACCACTTGTGGCGAGGTGTCCCAAAGAGAATGAAGAGGGAACAAGGTGTCAACTTTTGGAATATTCTTGCAAGCGGTGCAAAAATCAGGGATACTGTGGATGGTCGAAACCCTGCACCACTTTGAAACTATAGTTGAAACCAGAAGGTTGGTTGGTATGTACAGGGGAAACATCATTCCAGGGATTCTTTAGCGGTGCAGGATATTGTCCATCTACAGTACCTTTCCAAATTAGGAAATCTTCAACTCAAAGGAAGATAAGCTTTAAGCGCCCACTGATTCCGCCTAAGCTTCGCGTTTCAACTGCTTAAACAATACTTTGGCATCTTGTCTGCAAGCCATGAGTGCCCCTAAATGCACCCCACAGGGAAGCTCCCTTGAATGGCCGACAGGGTTTGCATCACCCGTGCAGAAGGAACCCTGGCTATGGTCATGTCCAAGAAACGCAAGACTAACTTCTTGCGCCCGACAAGGTCCACGATATCTACTAATATGAATCTGACAGGGGGTCCCTTGAAAAGGACAAGGCCCTCGTGTCATGTTCCATGTTAATTGGTGGGAGGGTACTAGATTTGGGATTCTTAGATCGCAGTCATATTTGCACCCTAACAATATAAACCAGTTTTGGAGACCACAGAAGAGCGGCTAATGTTGAGCCCGTCTACTACAGGGTGGGGGCCCCTCCGAAGTGATCTGAATCGCCACTAAAATCCGGGTCCATCTAGTGGGGCATGTCCTAAACCCTCTCTAAGCTCCAAACGTCCATGGCTGAACGAATTTAAAGGGGGAGAATGGATGAAAATCGACCAGGGATTTATTCTGGGGTTAACATTGAATGGAGAGGGTCTGAACATATCTAAAAAAGCTTCCCTCCCGTTGGATTTCCCCCCAGAACGCTTCCTTTCGGACAAGGTGACGATGGAACCGCACCGGTCCAAGCCGAATTGGGGTAACTCCCCATTTCCCGACAAACCAACCAGGGGCTCTGCTGAATCCGGGGTCAACATTACTTGCCACCCCTTGGTGGCAGCAGCAAACCGACTGCTTTTGTTGCAGCCCCCCGCTGAACATGAACACAACACCACCTCCGCCCCCCCCCCCCACACACAAAAACCACACACACACAGAAGAACAGTGCCCCCCCAAAAAAAAAGAAAAAGAAGAAACCCACCCTCCCCCCAAAAATAAAAGGGCAAAAAACGGTAAACATAGAAATAACAACGAACAGTGAAGAGGACCTCTGCCAAAAATCCGCCCACGGCGACGCTCGCCGTGTCGCGGCGCCTCCACGGAGGTGGCCAAGGCCAAGACGTCGCCGTGCTGCAGGGGTTGCTCCCCACAGCCTCACCCCCCGCACGAGTCAACGGGCGGAGAGGGGGGGTGCCATGGACACTTTCTCGCTGCCTCTGCCGTTTCCAAGAGGGTCTTGACTCAGGCAACGAAAAAGGTGCCCGCTGATACTCGGGGGCACCAACAACAAACTAGGACAACCCGGGCAGACATCAAGTAGGAGCCAGAAGGACTCCACCTCGGCCGTGGACACTTGCCATGTCGATTTTGTAGACTCGATCCCCTGAAAAAGAAGCAACATGCCCCCAAATGAAGGATGATGTTAAAATTGACCTTATAAGTGTCCAACATACGGGGGGAGGGGGGGGGATTAGGGCCTGCCACATCTCACACACGTGGATTGGCCAAACTTGTGCCACAAAAGTGGGAGCCAAAGCCCGAAAGTGACGCAAGTCCGAAACGAGGCATTGGCTTCAGCTCTCGACTTTTCTTTGACTGGTTTGGAGGTGTCCCATCCCAGGGGATCAAATCCCCTCCAAATCCACCCTTCCCGTTTGATTCCCTGAACAAGAGCCAGGGCCCGGCAAAGCGCCCCAAGATGCTTGATTCTGATCTGCTCTTCGAATCGATTCAGCAACCTGAAAAACAGGTAACAGAGACACAAACGGGTATATGACAACTAGATGTTTGAATGTTCATCTATTGTGCAAACACTATTTGTAAGATATTGTCCTCGAACATGTGATCATGTAGTCAAACATAGAAATATACGTGTGACCGTGTGATCATTTCAGGCAAGGTCCCACATTAGATTGTCAGGGACTTTATGAGAAAGTCCCATGCTCCGCCAAGAAACATACAGAAAGCCGCAGGGTTGAGCCGACACCTTGTTTGAGAAGTACCCTGTGCAAAACAACCTCTGATTCTGAGTTCCTGCATGGATTGGGCAAACCAGTAACCAAACCTCATGCTTGCCACTGAAATGGTCACCCCAAAAAAGGGGACGAGCAAGTCCGAAGCGTAGCTCGTGGACTGAGGATTTGGCGGCCCCCCTTTGAAGGGTAGGGCTCTCACCCGCGAGAACCCCCCAGTTTCTCAACGGCAACTTGGCTGCTGCAACGACCTGCAAAAAGCTTTCAACTTTCGGGGGCTTAGTTCGGAAAACCTCTTGATTTCAACCAACAAGTTAAAGTCTAAAATCCAACCCAATAGCAGTCAAGGCAAGGCAGGGGGAACATCAAAACTATTCTGTGCCAACATCGGGTCTAACTGGGACAGTCACAGCCCGATTCACCTGCGCTTTGGGAGGCGTGACTGTTGCGTTTGGTGGGAGCCTCGGTGAAAGGGTGTTTCTTGGAACATGCGGTGCATGCCCTAGATATTGCAAGTAAACAACCATGGTAAAATTACGGTAGATTGCTTGGTTGTTTTGGTCCCCTACTTGCAATATGTAGGGCATCCACCGACCTGTCACATGCTCTACTTGCGCAAGCTGAGATTCCAGATTTCAGCCATGCACACTCTAGGTACCATGTCCTATATTTCCGACCATCACCCCACACAAAGGCAGTTCACTTCACATGGCCTTTAAAGTTCCAGACCTTGATATGAAACAAGCCTCCAAGTGAGTCCAAAAAAAAGAACCTGCCGCAAGTTGCCGAGACTCCTTTTTCGCACCCCAACCCTAAACCCAAAAAGCTTCCAACATCCAGGCACCAGTTAGGTGGCATATCAACCAACGCTGACCCCGGACTGACAATCCCCTATTTATTACAGGGGGGTGTCCCTGGGATTGAGCCTACTTCAGGGGAGCACACGAGATTCCGCACCATGTGCACCGCAGGGGCCAAAACGGAGCCAAACACAAACATAACCTTATGCACTACGAGGGTTAAGTAGGCGGCTTATCAACCGGTATTCCAGTACTGTTGCCCCTGGATACATCACCTGCTTATTCATGTGCGGGTGGGGGCCCCTCCAAGAGTCATCCGAACCCCCACTAAAACCAAAAGACCACCCAACCTTTTAGTCAATAGTTGTATTACTTGGTTGCTTTCGACCCCTCTGCAACAAGTCTCTAACTTTTTGGGGGTTTAGTTCGGAAAACACCTTTATTTCAACCAACAAGTTAAAGTCTAAAGATCCAACCCAATACCAGTCGAGAAATTCGTCCGGGCAAAGCGCCGCTGGGCTCCCGGCCATTGCTGATGAATTGGTGGTTCAACAGGGCGCCGTTCAGCGACAAGCACACCACGCTGAACATGGCCTGAGATTTTTCGTTCGTTTTGTTTCGTCCACCCGACTCTTAGACCAAGGCAGGTAAGTTGGTGTCTTGTTCTGGTTCAATCCGTCTTGTGACCGTTTTGGTCGATGCTTGGCATGTTTTTGGTTGAGTTGTTGGACCCCAAGTGGGTCTTGCGTGGAGCAAATCATCTGCTGGAGTGACTTGAGAACAGTAACTTGTTGACCAGGCATATTAACCACTTGAGAAGGGTGGTCACCCAAGTTAGGCCAAGTTTAACGTACTATCTCACCCCTTCCCTTGTCTCAGGTGCCAAAAGTCGCCTGAAGTCATGTGATTACTGTTTGGAGCCTTGAAAACACATTTTGTGCCTTCGGATCTTATCAAAATCTGCAACCCTTACAGGTTGCAACACGTTGCCTCCGTTCGTATTAGTAAGAACAACGATAACTCGCTTTGAATTGGCCTTTTTAAAGTCGATCTTTGAAAAAACCTTTCCAAGGGCTCATCCAACACAAGAAACATGTGATAGCTGAAGCACCACTTTTCCCTGGACAGCTGGGGAACCAACACCCCTGCTAAATCCCGAAAGAGCAGCGGCTTTACCTGTGGATGGTCAATTGAGGTCCCTACTTGGGGGAACTCCCATGTCACAATTCCCTTTGCCTAGTCTTCACTTTTTTGTTGAACACGTTTGTTTTTTCAACAAATACCGGCCGCTGATTTTTGGCCCATGCCCACTTGTAAAGGGGCCCCGGAACATGGGCACCGCTCGAGAAGGGGCCGGGCCAAGGTCCCGCCTGGAGCGGTTTGCCCGGACAGGGCCGCGCCAGGACCTTTGGCCGAAGGCTTTGGGAAACCGCCGAAGGCAATTGTTGACCCCCTGAAGACTTGGCTGGAATTAGGACCCCAGCAAAAAATATGTTTTTTGCCTGGTTAGTGGAAAGCAAAGGGGACCCCAACAAAGCAAAAAAGGAAAAGGGGGAGCTAATGGGAAGAAGAAACCGCAACCAGTGAATCAGAGGGGTTCTTTCATCAGGGTTCTTTAATCAAACCCCACGAAAAAGGTGAAGAGAGGTCCTTGAATCAGAGAGGTCCTATTGAAACCCAACTAACAAGGGACCCCCTTTGACTGGGGCGGTGGCGGTGGCGGTGGCGGGGGTCTATAAATCACTTGCCAGCATTACCGTGGGCAAAGAACTGCCACAGACACCAGCTGGGATCGGTGGTTGTATGCACGGTGCTTCCATATGTTTTGTGGTTCGCTGATCCCCCCAGATTCAAATGTTTTTTGCTTATGTTGAGGGGGGTGAGGGAAGGACGGCGCCACTAAACGGACAGCAAGGAAGCAGCCAAGTGTCAATGTTGGTGCATGCCCAATGCCAATCACAGCAAAGGGCTGTTTCAGCTTCCCCTGATCCATTGGATCGGTGATTTGTAGCTGTTCCCCAGGGGTTCAAATCCAAATCCAAGCCAATCCAAACCACCGACTCAGGGGAACCTGAACAATTTCTTCAGCGGCTTGGGTTTGGCCAGGCTTTAGTCTTCCCAATGCTCATGCCAGCCCGTTACCTCCATTTGCTCAACTCCCCTGGGAAACAAAAAGCTATGTCCAGTAGTGAGAGATTCCCTTTGAAACCAGCAGGGGCAAAAATCTTAACCAGATGGAAGGTTCTGAACTGAACCGAAAAACAACAAAGAATGCCAAGAACAGCTTAAAAGTCCGCGCCTGACTCACTTCGCTGGCCAGAAGCAAGTCTCTCTTTGCTGTTTTTTGGCCACTCAAACGGGTAAGTTGAAGCTCCAAGAACCCGGAGAGTGAGGCAAACTCCGAAGTGATTCCCCTTGAAGCGCTAGAGTGAGTTTTAACAAAGCCTCCGCACTGATTCCCGTTGGAAACGGAAGAGGAAAAAACACGGCGGACATGGAACCGAACAAAAAGCGTGTCCGCATCCGATCATCCGAGTTCGAGCGTCGGAGCCTTGAGGTGTTCTCTGGAGACCGTGCCGTGGAGCCGCCTGGAAAGCGCTCGCGTTCGATGTGGACTTCGGGGCATCCATGCAGGCCAGGGTGCGGCAGAAAGGTCGGCTATCTTATCCAAAGGGTCCCTTGACCCGGATTTACGGTGTTGGGTCCAAGTACCCCATCTAGAGTAGTTCAAATCCGCAAATCTGAGGTACCAAGCGACGCTCTGGGTTAAGACTCCGCAAGATTTGTGGGGAGGATATCTTGTTGAGAAAAACACATTTTTGGATACAGCTGGGAAAGCAACGCGAAGCCCACAGTTGAAGAGGCAGCTACTTTCCGTTGAGCTTTGCCTGCCATGGAACCTGCCGAAAGGGGGGGCTGGCTACCAGAAACATGCGGGGCAGCCAGGTTCCATGCCGAGGGTGCCGTTTCACGAGGTAGCTTTACAGGAGACTGGGAAGGGCAGCCTTTCTTTTGCAGCTACCCTCGGGTAAGTGAAACCAAAGCGGAAACCAGCTCAGCCCCCTGTGCTTCAAGCACGCTTTGCTTACGCACCTTGCCTGAACAAGGCTCCAGTTTCAGAGCTCCCAAGCAACCAGCCCACTTAGCGGAGCATCCAGCCCCCCATCTTCTCAGGCACCAGCGGCCGTAAAAACCGACCGAAGGGCTTGCTTCTCCAAAACGAAGGAACCGCTCCCTGCACAAAAAGGCAACCCACCTCGGGCGCGAACAAAACCACATGGGTCTCTTTCCACTTGACTTGGCTTCAATACTGGACACCCCGGCTGAGCACCAAGGAATTGGCTAGGCTGAGCCCCGAAAAGACACATTTCAAGAGCCGAATTGAATCTCCAAGCCCCGGGGATCTTCCTACCTTCCCTCCAAGCCAACGCCCCAACAGCAGGTTGCAACCTGTCACAGGTGTTGCCCAGAGAAAGAACAACCCCCAAAGAGTTTCTTGACACCTTCGTTTGCCTTCACAGTCTTGTGATAGGGTCTTTGGGGAAAACATCCAAAAATTCCACCATCGCTCCAAAACCTGAAATAAACGTAATGCATCCCCAAGTAAAGGGGCTTCACCATGAGCTCTTTTCATCTCAGGATCGGGAAGCTCCGCCATATAGTGCCCATGGATTTATATATGGGTTTAGACCTGCGTGTGCTGAAGTCCACCGGGAAACATAGATTTCCAGCAGTCATAGCTTGCCTTGAACATCAACCAGGGGCAAATCAAAAAATACTCTGAAACGCGAGAGTAAAAGTATATGGGTGTGTCGTTTGCAAGGCTGGACCACCCAACATGGACTTTTGATTGTCGTCGTGGTTCCGCTTTGAAACCACATAAAAGGGTGCCCTCAAAACATGGCAGTGTATTTTAAGGAACCTAAGTGGCTTGTGGACATAAACTTTACCACCCCTGGTCTGGTAGCCAACAACTTTGTTTCTTGCAGCCCACTAAACATGAACAGAGCCCAAACAGAACTAAACACCTAGAAACAAGGAAGTAAGTTCCAAGCGAAATGATGCCAACAAGTTCCCAATCAAGAATGGGAACCTAACATGGGAAAACCAAAAGGTCCTTTCCGGCCGGCTTCGGGCAACCGAGAAATTCATGGAGGGATTCAGTTCCGCTGGGCCCCCGGGAAAACCGAAAAGCAAAAAGAAGAAGAACAAACAGGAAAAAAAACAACACGGAAATCAACAAAACACAAAAACACACACACACACACACACACACACACACACACACACACACACACACACACACACACAAAACACGCTCCCGCTGAGCATCTCGCCTATCGGGCACCAGGGTCTTCCAGACCTCAGCAGCCGTCTGATCCTGAAATTGGGGGTGTGTTTCTTGGGGGCTCCGTGTTCGGCCCGAGCTTTTCTGGGCTTTCCTGGGGCAAGAGCAACCCTTCGGACAATTCGTTGGCCTGGCGCATGGAAACCATGGGTTTGGGACACCAATAGGGAAGCTCAGTGGTTTGGATTGGAGGTTGGGTAGCTCCCACTTTACCCTCTACAATATCCAGCGGATCAGTAATCCGAACCCAGTTCCTACCAAGTCAAACCACCAAAGGGTCAGGTAACCACAGGCGGTTAGAATAAAGGGGCTCAACTCCGAGTCACCACCGACCCAAATCACCACTACGTTGCCTTTTAAGACCTGAAATGGTGGTTTGGATCGGAGTATCTTCCAATTTACCCTCTGCAATAACCAGGGCTTCAAATCCGAATTCAATCCACCAACCCAGATCACACTACCAAACCACTTGAAACACCAACAAACCCCTTTTGGCTTCAAAGGCCAAACTGGGCGGTCAAATTCGAATTCAAACCCACCCAACCACTTGAAAAAGTTCGGAATCGAAACCACCACACCCCCAAACCACTGGGCGGTCCCAAAAAGCGTCGCCTGTCGGCTTCGAAAAGGCGCCGACCGACAGGCCGAGCCCTTAGGGTTTACCCTGCCAAGCGACTTCCTCCGCCTGGGCAGTTCTGCCCAGCACCAGCTCCGGCGCAGAGGAGGACCTAAGGAGATGGCTCCAACCCCACACAAAAGCCATGGGCTTTCATGGCATATATGGCCATGGGCCAAAAGGCCCGTACCCAGTGAACATCCCAATCCCCACTAAAATGGCCTAAAATGGGTGGCACACCTACCTCAAAATGGTACCATTGGTTTGACCCACAGCCATATCTCGGTTGCTTTCCGCTCGCCAAAAGTTTAACTTTTTGTGGTTTAATGGAAAACCCATTAGTTGACAAAAAGTTCAAGTCCTCACATCCAGGCAAAATGCACCAAAGATATTTAGGTCACTGGCGCTGACCGGGTCTTGGCCGAAACTTGTGGTGTTTTTTGGAGATCTTAGTGGTCAAAGGCTGTATGTTTTTCCGTCCATCCATGAACCCACCCTTAATTTATGGGTTCATTGGCCAGTTCGTTCCGGCTTAATCATGGGCAATCAGCCCCAAAAGGGTCCAACGTGGCCACGAGTTCAGATATGGCTGTGGGTCAAAAATAGGTACCCAAAACGGCACCCTGGCAACTGGAAACATGGACTAAAACCTGCGGTCCCCTGGTGGTTTAATTTTGAGCCATACCCATATGGACCGAAAAAACCATCAAGCTTGTGAGCAGTTCACCCTTCCCCGATTTGAGGCGCTGGCAGGGCGCGTTGCTGAGTGCTCAGCTTGGCCAAATCCAGACCCTCCGCGTAGACGCACCTAGCTCAGTTTCTGCCAAAACTGGCTGGTGGGCAGGGCCCCTGACAACTGAAATGACCGCCTCGGACAAGGGAAAAACCATCCAACCGGTGGCTTTCTTTAAGGGGACCGAAGCCTGGGTTCATCCCTACCTATCGCATCAGCAAGTTAGTGTGTGGCTCGAACTCCTCAGCCGTACGAAAACCACAGGGTCCCAAAAGGTTCCTCATATTTCTGCGGATTTGTTCAGAATCTGTTGAGGAATCTCCTTGAACCAAACCCAAAACCGCACATATGAGGCACCCAGAAACCCTCTGGGTCAAAGTGAACCGAATTGGCTACCTGCTGACGCACCATTGGCACCGGCTGGGGGCGGATGAGTCGGTGGACCTTAAAGTGAACCATGCTTCCTCAGTATCAGTTGTGTTGCCCGTAAGAGCTTAAAAACATGGCACTCAACGCCTGTCAGCATTATATAACCTCATACTTGTATGTATCAAACTGGGGGGGGCCCAAACCCCTCTATAGAGAGATACAGGTGGCTTCAGGACAAACAGAGACTGAGGCCGCCGGTGAATTGAGGTACAAACGAGAATGAGACCCAAACGCCAGCGGGTGGACCCCTTTGTCCGGTGTCACGTTCATCAGGGGCACATGCCCCATGGTTACAATAGGGAATCTATGGGGGCGGAAACGGAACCCCGCCTAGCTATTCCCGAAACGGCCCCCACGCTTCAGCATTGAGGCCCTTGAAAAAACGAAAGGGCTCCCGACCAAGCTTACGAAAAATCAAACAAACATGCTCTTCAACCATTGCACACAAATCTGGCCGTGCCCAGTGCCTTGCTTAGCCTACACCCCGTTTCCAAGAAAAACAGGTTTTGTCGAACCTGGCTTTTTGATCTTGCCTCGGGAAAAGGCAACCAGCCGCATGTTGACCTCTTGCCGCGCTTTGCGGCAACACGCCACGGCTTTCGGGTGGACCACCCCTGAGTCTGAGTGCGCCGCCACAAGCGATAGGGAGGCACCGCCTCGGCTTGCGCTGGTACATGGAGCGCTGCTCAGTTTTGAGCCCGGGATCTCCACTTTCCAACTTTGTGGTTGGCTTCTTTTTTGCGCACGGACCTGTGGCATTTCATTTGTGCACGGACCTTGGCATTCCTCAATCCCCTTTTTCTCCAGCACGAAAAAAGACATGCTGGCGCCCAGCCCATGCCAGTTTGCAGAGGAGCGATTCCCAATCCCCCATCCCCAACAAATGATGAAAAAGGATGGGTGATCCCAATCTGAAATCTAACCTTCCCGGTATGTTTTTCACCGGAACATTGGCATTCCCCATTCCCAATCCTGCCAAATTGGACGCCTTTTCGGGTCCTCGTGGCGCGCATTCTGCCGACTCGTGGGCTCAGGCCGCGGCGGAAGGGTCCAAGAGCTCACCGCCTCCGAGAAAGAACAACTCCACCAGCTTTCTATCCAGGGATCCGAATCTTTTCAGGAAACCATGAAAGAACCCACAAGAAACGGATCCGGTTGTTGAACAGAACGATGGTTGCAAAGAATGGAAATGGAATCAACCCCCAGAAGTTTGGATGGAAACCCCTCCCTCTCTCTCTCTCTGCCGTACAGGTAAGCCGTTTACCTAGACGTGGGGTGCCCAATGACTGGGTCATTGTCTTGGACTGATTCGTGGTAGCCTTTGGTGACTTTGCTGACATGGATGGGAGGGCCGAAACTACCTACACCAGTTAGGGAATTTTGTGGATGGATGCATTCGCGCCAGGCACTAGTTGGGATTGGTTTGTCCCGTTTCATCCATTTCTGGTGAAGGCTGATTTGACCACCGTCCACAGCACTAATCAGGCTGTGTGTGTGTGGGTTGGTATACATTTGTTTCAGGGGCCCTGTGGACATCTTTTGCAGTGCTTGATGTTTATCAGCTCTTTCTGGGTCTTCCCTGTTAAGATGCAGCGAGATCATGTATAGGAGAGGATGGATCTCCTGACCTTAAAAGGACAAGGCCGGGGTGGACAAACAAAGTTGGAACCCCACAAACCAGGACATGGAATCCGGAATGAAACTCCACAGGTTTACCCCGTATCCCAACGCTGGGATCAAGGGTGAGATATTTATTCAGATGCAAATGGTACTACAATTCCAAAAGCTGAATTAAGGGATGCCCAAGTGAAGGACCTTTATCATGCCAAGCTCGTTGGCCCCCAGGCGAGCTCGCCATAAACTAGGCAAATCCATCTTGCGTCTGCAATCTGATTCCCTTTCTACCACTCAGGCTGGCGGCCATTGCCCTCAACGAAAAGTTCAACAACGGCATGTGTGAAAGGAGACGGGTGACACGGGACAAGACTCAGGTGTACAAACGGAAATCCGAGCCCCATTTGCGAAGCTTAATCTGTTTTTGCCGTTGAGGGTGTACAAACGCTCAGTGTCCAAACAAACGAGGATCCAACCCCAAGAAATTCCTAAGGGTGATAGTCTAGCACCAACCAAAAAGGGGGTCCCTTAAACCATCAACTCAACATGGCCAAAAACGCCAGGGTCACTGGGATTCGCTCTAAAGGCTGGACTGTACCAGCATGTTCCGCTCGACTAAGATCACTTCCATGTAGCGCAATTCCCAATGCTTTTTGAAACACACACCCATTTACCGAAATGAACATTTTGTTTGCTTTCCCTGTTGGTTGGAAATCACTACTAGAGGTGTCCCCTTAAATGAACACAAGTCACCGTCTTCCAGTAAAGTGCCCTTTAGGCCACTTGGGGTGCCGAACCCGTCGTTGGACCCCCCAAATGGATTGTGGATGTCCTTTTGGTTTCCCTTTGAAACCATGAAAAGGGGCTATGTCAAGAAAGAGACAGACCCAGATCTGGCTCTTTTTGAAACCTTCGGAAAGTTTGGTTTGGGGATGTTTGGGCTCCCAAGCTTCGGAATGGTGGCTGTGGGTCAGAAATGGGTACCCGGACTAAAACCCGCGGTCCATATCCTGGTGGATTAATTTGGACCCATACCCGTTTGAAGCCAAGGGCAAACCATTCGCGACTCCAAGCCACCCGTCAGCTCCGCTCCCGTCCTGGGCTCTCCTTCGCTTCGTTGGTTCTGTCCGGGTTGGGAGGCGCCACCGCCTGCCAAAGGCAAAGCGGTTGGGAAGCCCAGGAACTCGGGTGACGCACAAAATCCGGGCTGGATGTCGACATGAGTGCGCATGTTGAGAACCAAGAGGCGTGTTTCCTGTTAAGCAACAAGCAAACACAATACCTGGCTTTTTTAACACAACAAAAACAGTCCCAACACTGGCTGAAAGCCTAGGTTGTCTATTTCATGGGAACATCCCAACGGGATCCCTCAACACCGATGAAGGAATCCAAGTTGCACCCAATCGTCCCCGGGTCACATGAAGGTCCAGAGGAGTCAGGTTGGTCAAATCTGTGTTTGAACACACTTTGACACCAACCCTGGCAAAAGCTTTGCCTCCCACTTCTCTGTTTGGTTCCAGTTTTTGTCTGGTTCTCCTGGAAGATGTATTCACCCCACTTAGAGTTCCCAAGTGGGATGTACCCCAGATGTGGGGTCTGGCTGCATGTTTAAGAAGGGGATCGCCGGTTTCTCAGTCTGCTTTTGCTTCCTGCTTGGGCGAAACTGAGCTACACCCATATATAATAATAACCCTCGGGGACTTAACTTCGAAAGTCCCCCACCCAATTGCGGCTGTCCACTTACACCAGGGCCATTTAATTCGTCAAAATTCCAACACGATGATGCCAGGGATGTGCCTGGATTTCTCCCACACAGGTTGCAACCAGTGTGTCCTTTTTTGTGGGTGCCCCTTTTGGCCGTTTTTTTTTTTTTTTTTAAATAGGACACTCAATGTTGAACACCACATTCTATTGTTTTTTGTTGGGGGGGGTTCGACCGAAAAAGAAGCCACGCAAACATGCCAACTAATCTAGGGGCAACTTCCCCATTCTCTCCAGGGATCCTTCTTTCTAAGAAACCACCCAAAACCCTTGGGGAAACAGCGATCGGTAATTGAAAAGAACGATGGCTGAAACGAGTGGAAAAGGAATCACCCCCTTGAATATTCCTTGTTCATACCCCTTGGCTTCCCTGGTTTCCAACTCACTTTAGAAGGGGTATGTACCCCATTTGGCGAGAGGGTATGAACATCAGCTCAGCAGGGCTTCTGGGTATGAACAATGTGGGTTTTTCTCGGTTGCTTTCTGCTCCCCGCTAAAAGTGTAACTTTTAGTGGTTCAATGGAAAACCCCATTAGTTCGCGAAAAGTCAAAGTCCCAACATCCCTTGGCAAAATACACCAAAGTCTTGGGTATGAACATCCACCCCTAGAACCTAGGCTGGAACTAGGACCCCAGCAAAATATATATCAATTTTTTTTGCCTGGTTGGTGGCAAACCAAAGGGGACCCCGAAAAAAGCGAACAAGGAAAAAGGGGGAGCTAATTCTGGGGAAGAAGAAACCGCAACCAGTGAATCAGAGGGGTTCTTTCATCAGAGAGGTTCTGGGGAGCGAATTCTGGGGAGAGAGCCACGAATCACTTCGTCCGCTGGGATGCCTTGGGCCGCGGCGCCGGGGAGTCCGAAGGCCACTTTGGGCCGGCCTGAAGGCCACGAGTCAGCGATGGGTCGAGGAGTCGTTCTTCCGGTGGTCCCCGCTTTTTGGGTTCGGTTTAAGGGGAAACGACATGTTAGTGTCAAATGGATTTGCTGTTCTTTTTTTGGTTGGTTTTGCAGGGAAACCACAGATGTGTCACATGGAATTGTTACTTGTTGGCTCGTTCCAAAGGGAAACCACCTATGTGTCAAATGGAGTTTCTTGCTTTTTGGCGGGTTGCAAAGGGAGGTTTGCAGGGGAAACCCGAAAAGAAATGTTGGGGGGGGTCCAACCTTAAAAAGACACACCCAAATTTGTGTCGAACCGGATTTGGACCCACATGGATTTGGGTTTTCCTTCTTGCTGCCCCCCCCCCCAAAAAAAAAAAAACACCAGACACACACACTGTGGATTCCCCGGCAAAAGCTTCACTCAAAGGCGGTAGAGCGGCAGTTGACGGTCCCCCAGTCCAGTTCTCTGGGAAGGAATCTTTGGGAGCCACTTGTGTGGTGGACAGAATCACCATCCGGAATCTGAGACCTTGTCCTGGCTGGGAATCGTCGTAAATTGTAGTCAGCGCTGCAAGATGTGACTCGAACATGCTGCTTTGGAAATGAACCCATAGTCTGGAAACTGCAGCTCACATAGTTCAAAGCAAACCGCATAATCCGCAATCCGCTAAACATAGAGAGTTAGGCTCGCTTCCTGAGTGGATTGGCCACGGAAAGTACAAACTTGATATTTGCCAAACCCACAAAGTGACTAAAGGCCAGGAACTCAGGAAGTGAGTTGGGGACTAGGGCTTAACCACGCTACTCAAAACTCTGTAGGACAATGGGTTGCACCACTTCACTGGAGTTTCAGACTCAAACCACTGGTGTCTATGGGACCGTCAAGGCTCGGATCGGCAAAATGGGAGTCTCTCAAAATAACAATTCTCCGCCCAACTGGCTGGTTTCATGTAGATTTCCTTCCAGAAGCCGCGCAAAGGTACCCCCAAAAACACGACAACCCCCAGAAACCTTGCGATGTCCAGGCTTTTGGATGCAGCTCTATGGCCCGGCTAAAGGGCCTAAAGGCCCTTCAATGGCAATGGCACCAGTTTGATGGTTTCTCCCATGGCTTCATCTATACTGGTTCGAAGTATTTTCTGCCCATCACTAGTTTATGATCAGTGAGCGTTAAACCTCAAGCACTTCATCACCTTTTGATCCTCCTCAGTCAGCTTTACATCATAAAATATCAACAGGGATCCTGTGTGCAGTCTCTACAACCCTCATGGTATGCAAAGTGGTAGTGGAGAGAGCTGTGGTACATACACGACCCACACATGGGGTGACTTGTGAGGTTCCGCTTTGTGGGGGTGGTTTACAGGGAAACTGAGCTTTCTTATTGTTGTCTTGTATTTTTGGGGGGTCCCCTACTTTGACGCATGCCAGCACCAACCTTTGTTTTGGGGGGGGGCATACCCATACCGTGGATGGACAAAATCCATTTCGCACCACCTAAGAAACCATGGTTGAAACCAGAACCTGGGGTGGTAATTGCAGGGGAACCGAGGCATTCCGTTGAGTTTCTGAACGGTGGTGCGAAATGGATTTCGCAATGGACGCAACCCGGCACCACCTAAGAACCCCCAGACGGATGATTCTCCTGGAAATACCAACGAAGAGTTGTGGCCCATGGATTCAAAGTGGTGCGAGAAGCGGATTCGCAACCATCCACATGGACCTCCCAAAGCATATATCTTCTGGGGTGAATCTTAATATTTCACCAGCCTGAAATAAGGTGGTTTGGGGGGCTATTCCCAACATAAACCACCATTTGGGGTGAATTCGGTCGTGTGTCGCTATAATTCACCCAGGTATCAAAGTCGTGGGGCCCCGCGCCGGTTGCACGCCCCGCTGCGGCGGCGGCGGAGGCGGCGGAGGCACATCCTGTGAGCGGCGCATTCCCGCGAATTGCCTGACGTGCTTTCTGGGTTGGAGGGGTGCCAGTTGGCCTCCCTTTGCTTTTTCGCCTGGAAAAAGTGAGATAAATATGTTTTTAGTGTTTTTTTTTAAAGGTTCCCTTTAAGAACGACAAGGGACAGTGAAAGAAAATTCCTAAGCAAATGGAATTAAACATAGCCATCCCCTTTTTGTCAAAGCTGGTAAGTGAACTGAAGAACTATGGGCTCGAAGATGCCGGACAAAGGTGACCCAAACTTCTTGGGAAGGGCTGGGACTCCCAGAGTCACTTCCCCATTCTTTCCACGATCCTTCCTTCCAGAAAGCCAATGGGGGAAACGGCTGGCCTTTTGAGAAAAGATGCTGCAACGCCCAACGCCCTTGTTCGCCTAAGTTAGCAGGTTGTGGTCGGAATGGGGATAAGCCAGGTGGGACTGGTCGGAACATAGGGGTAAGCGACTTGGAGATCCCTTTACTTCGAACCCGAGTCAGGATCCAAACGGCCCCCAATCAACGCCGGTTCCAGTCCCCGGCCTCTTTGACCTCCTTCACTTCCCGCGCCGCACCTTGGCAGGGCTGCAGGTCTGCAGGTCGGGCCCCACCACCCTGACCCCTGACGACCTTTTGAAGACTTGGGATAGGGAACTGTGGATGGTTGCGACATCTAGTCCATGCCCAAGAATCCGAACGGAATGCCTCGATTCCCCTGCAAATACAAACGAACATTCTTGTTTCAGCCATGGTTTCTTAGGTGGTGCGAACGGACTTCGTCCATCCACAGTAGGACAGCTCTTGGAGAGCGCTAGCAAGTGGATTATACAAGGTAAATTCATGTGCACGACTTATCCACCAGGGATGTCATTGAAGTACAGGCTTTGGGGAAGAAAACGCACGAGCCATGGTCAAAACTGAATACAGTCATTATAAGGGTTTTTGACCAGGTGGATGACCATCCTTGCTAACCATCTAAGGCTTACTTCCTGAGTGGATGGCCCGGAAAAAGTAACCACACTTTTTGTTATGCCACAGACTACATGGCTACCCAACATGGAAACACCGAAAGGTCTCAAGGGTCCATCTGTTTTGGGCAAGTCGAATCCTCCACTCGGGTTCCTTTTGTTTGCGGTGAAAGGTACCCGTACCTCCATTTGCTCAAGTCCCTTGGACCAAAAAACACATATCTCCAGTAGTGAGATCGATTTCCTTCAAATCCCTTCAAGCCCAGGGGCAACATTTCAGCAAAAGGAACTCAGAGAAAGGAGAGACACGTACCCTTTTCCCTACCTTAACGGCCCAAGCCATTTTCAGCGACTGCCCCTGGGCCCACGGTCCAAAGTCTTTCATCTTGGGTTCACGCGTTGGGGGCCGGCACGCGAGCACTCAATAGCCATTCGTGTTGCTAATGGAACCCGCTAACATGGAACCATCCAGATGGTCCCCTTGAAAGGAAAATAGATCTGCAGAACCCTGAAACGTCAGGTTCCATGTTGGTCGACAGGAGGGTACATTTGATATATTTCTCCCACCGACCCGCTCAATTCTTCTCATATCATGGGCCTCACGTGAAATAAACACACGAAAAAACGACCGAAGCGTGAGCTCCAATCAGACAGAGCGTGTTGTCAAAGCACTCCAAAAGACGCCCATACATTTGAAATGGGCCACTTTTGTTTGGCAACACCAGCTGAGATCTTGCCTTGTTCGCCAGCTGGTCCCATGCCAAATCCCGTACCCTTAGTGAACATCCCATTCCCCACTAAAATAGGTTCTAAACTGGGTGGTGCACCTACCCCAAAATGGTACCATTGGTTTTGACCCACAGTCAAATAGCCATTTCAGCCAAATGGAAGTCAGTACGCGGGGCCCCCGGCGCCAGCCCATGGGAGCCGCAGGTATGTCAGCTGCCCTCAGTTCAAACGGTGCCCGTTTGGCACAGCCTTGCTCCCTTTGCTTCCATTTGGTTGAGATTTTTGGAAAAATGAACATCTTGTGGTCAAACAGGTGTCTGGGTTGCCGTGTCATTGCCTCACTGGTTGAAGCGCGGGGTTCTTGGTCACAACAGTGGTTAGGTCTTCGCATCAGTGCCTCACTTGTTGCAGCGCGCTTCTTGGTGAGTCAAGTGGCTGGGTCGTCGTGTCAGTTCCTCGCTGGTGAAAAGAGCTTCTTGATCAAATGAGTGGCCCCTCTTGCAAAGGGACGCAAAAGGAAAACCACCCCTTGCAGGGATTCCCGGATTCACTGATTAAAGCGCTTCTTGGTCAAACAAATGGCCCCTCTTGCAAAGGGACGCAACAGGAAAACCACCCATTGCAGGGATTCCCGGATTCACTGATTAAAGCGCTTCTTGGTCAAACAAGTGGCACCTCTTGCAAAGGGGCGCAAAAGCCATTGCAGGGATTCCCGGATCCACTAATTGAAGCGCTTCTTGGTCAAATAAGTGGCCCCTCGCGCAAAACGACAAGGCCTTCCCGGATTCAGAGAGACCCACAGTGATAGAACCATACGCCACCGTGACGAAGTGGGATCGCGCTCTGTCGGCCTGATGTTCAGGGCGGGCACGTTGTACTCCACATCGCCGGTGTCAAACCTAGCGCGTTGACTGCCCGCGATTCCAAACCCTCGAAAATGGACATTGGCACTGCGAAAAGACCGGGCTCCTTGAAGAATGAATGCAACAGCCAACTGATTTACAAGGAACTGGATCCTCGAGGTAAATGTGATTCATCAAAACTGGCCATACTGCATCCTTGCAACCCTTCGCCAGGTAAGGGGCTCATACCGACTTAGTAAAGTCAGTTCCCTAAGCTGGCTCTGTGTAGGGACCTGACGGGCGGTCCAGACACCTGAGTGGCCATGAGTTGTTGTTGGGACACCCTTCTCCAAAAAACAAAAACCAAAAACAGGGCACCACTGGGGGACCGAAAAGTGCGAGGATGGCCAAGCGGAGTAGTGAAATGTGAATCCACCAGATTTGGGGCATACGAAAGGAGCACCAAGGGACGTTTCTTAGGTCCATTTGCAAATACCCTCTCAGCAGAGAGATATGTCTCTGTACTTTTATTGTTGCTTTCTTTGTTGCTGGGGGGGGGGTTCTGTACTCTTCAATGGCTAAGACAACAAGCGGAATCCGGCCCCACACAACCCCAGTGAGTTCCAGTGAGTTCGCTCCAAAGAAACTGCGAGACCCATATTTACGGTTTTGGGTTTGGTTTAAGGGGATTTGTTTGAACAGATTCATCCGATCTGCAAATGTGAGGTACCTTTTGGGACCCTCTGGGTGGTTGGGGTAGTTGCTACTTGCCCAGAGGCTCCCCATATATTTGGCGCCCTCAAACGGCTAGGTTTTGAGACCCCCAAACAACTGTGGGGTGTTTAATGGAGGGGTCGGGTCTTCCCTTGAAAGCCCACGAGCCTCTGGGTGAGGGTTTGTCCTCCAGTAGAGAGGTTAGAATAAGCTGGTACCCACCTTCTTTTCTGGGTTTGAAACAGAGAAGAGACCACCTTATCCCCCCCGGTCCCAAGGGCAAAGCGGTTGCCCTCGGCCGGCACAAACACGAACCAAAACAGGGTGCCAGTTGTAACAAGATAAAGAAGCCCAGCAGGGGCAGAGACAACCGAAAGCAAGCACAAAGCAGCAAACCAAGCAGGCAAACAAAGCAGCGCAGCGAGCAAGCAAAGCAAACCAAATGCGCACCGTTCCCAAACCCAAGTCCTGACCAATCACCAGCAACACCAACACCAACCAGGGGAGGGCCGCGGCACCTTTTGTCGCGGAGCTCGAGGTCGCCGTGTTGGGGCGCCGACGCAATTGCAAGCGGGTTCGCCGGAACGAAAAGCTTGAGCCAAATGGCGCATTGGCCATGGCAATAATCAAACATGCTATGATAAACGTACATGCCCCCAAAAACACCCCCCTCGCCTGTACAAAGAGAGGAAGTGAATTTGGAAGGGCGCATTGGCCATGTTGAAGTTGAAAAGCAAAAAACAAGAAAACAGAGCCGATTAGGCTACCAGGGTTCGCGGCCCCATACCCGGGCACTCATTGGTGCCCGGATCCCGCCACCACCCCGAATTACGGGTATGGGGCGGATTCGCGCCGGTAGCCAAATCAAACAAGAGAAAGCAAAAAGAAACAGAAACAAAGATTCAACTCCAGAATGGCAGGCATGAAATAAAAATACATTTGCACTGCAACCACATCGAACCGTAAGGTTCGAGTGGATTTATTTCCTGAATTCATGATTTAGGCGCATTGGCCCACTGGTTGAAACGTGGTGCTTCGACCACAAGACCACGGTCTTTAAATTAGCACCGTCTAGGCGCGCGATCACGCAAAGACCTTCGGTAGGAACACCACCAGCTGCAATCAGCGGTTCAGGTCCGAATAGGACCTCACCGGCAGCGGTGCAGCGCATCCGTGATCCTCACCACAGCACCTTGATGAGCTCCATCACCAGCAGCAGCAGCGGTGCTGGAGAAAGCAGATCACCAGCGGCCATAGACGCCGCCGAGGATGACTTCCTTGCTGCGGCGACATACACCTGACAGGTAATCGCTGCCTGCGCGAATAGCGCACAGCTGCGCATGCAGTTGAATTCCGAAATGGCGAATAGCCCAAACACAGAAATACTACAAGGAGCATAGTCCATTATGTGAATTCCGGAATGAAAGCACGCGCGCGTTGGCGCCGCCACGCAAAGGATGCAGACGAACATCAGGTATCACCGATGTCGTCCGCCGCCGTGCCGTCCCCTCCCCTTGTTGACGTTCCAGTCCCCAGGAGGAGGAGGCACGGTCTCGGCCAACTCATCATCCGCACCCCAGGTAGGGGTATGCGGCGAGTTCGGATTCTCGAACTCGCGGGGATCACCCTGCATGTGCGGCTGCCAACCCTGCGGCATTGCGCCAGGCCACATTTGCGGCATCATGCCAGCCATTGGCTGTTGCATGTACCCTCCCATTGGGAAAGCGGGGTACATCGGACTCGGGAAAGGGTAAGGAGCTGCCTGAGCACCCTTGTATCCCGACCCGCGAGCATCAGGCTGATACCCGCCAGTGGGAGTTCTCGATCTGGCGGATCCGCCACGACCGAACTGCCCTTGTTGGTAGCCGTATTGGCCACCCTTGCCTTTGTACTGATCACCTTTGTGACCCTTTCCTGGGAACTGGTCACCCTTGTGACCTCCGCCCTTGGGCCATGATTGCGCAGGGGCTTTGCCCTTTTGCTGATCACCCTTTGACCTGGATTCAGGTCGCGGGGTAGCAGACCGCTGGTCTCCCCTAGGAGTGGCTGCCCGCCTGTGGTGCTTCCCAACCGGCGGGTCAGCAAAAACAATGGCGCATTGGCCGTCGCGCCGCGAAGCGGGGACCATGTCAACCTTGTTGTCTTCGACATAAATGTATGCCTCAGCATACTCAATTGGGGCCGTGATGGATCCACCACCGGCCCGCAAAGAGTCGATACTCCAATCAAGAACAGTGGAAGCATCGAAACTCGGATCTTCAGTATTGAAGTCCGTGAGGCGTCGCTCAGCCTGTACCAATGACATTATGATGTCCGCGCGTGAGGCGCCTAGGCCATACAGCGGAACCAAATACCCGTCCTCAATCCCGATGCGGTAGGCATCAAAGATATGCACAGAGAGGTAAAGGGCAAATGCTGAATTTAGACTGCCCTTTCTCGTCATATGACGACCCCATTGCGCCGCCTGTTGCGGGTGCTCGATCAAATATGCCAAGACAGACATATTGTCGGGAATCGAGACGCCAGTGTTGCTCTCCTCGATGAGCAGCTGTTTCGCTACCCACCGCTCGAGAGCCTCATCACTCGCCCGCACACAAGCGTGAGTGTCCTTTGAGGTGACCTTTGCAACCTCCTGAAACGCAACTTGCACAATGTCCGCATTGGGAACGTGCACAAGATGCGGCGCACAGCGCAAACCGGTGATCATACAGCTGACCACCTCGCGGATCGGGTTTACCGATGCCATGAGAGGGGCCCACGCGTCGGTCTCCCCCTCATACCAGCTGCTGGCGCGGACTGCCTTGAGTCCCTCTAGCCAGATGGGCTGTCCCTTCTTGACCAGAGAGCGGACGGTGCCTGGCACCCACTCACGATAGAAAATCGGCAGATGGCAACCATTGCATAGAATGGTGCCATACATGTTCAAGTGCGCGCACCGAGGGCACCAGTAGTCATGCATGGGAGCGTTGTCCCATGAAAATGACACCCCTCTCCGCGGTCCCTGAACGTTCATCTCACGGACCGCCCAGGGACGGATGTATATTACATCCCCTTCCTGGTGCAGATAGCATGCGCGCCAAAAGGGCGCATGTATCTCCTCCCGCACGGCGATCAAACCGCGTCGGGTTTTGTAGATGCCGGCAGCTTCCTCGATGGCCATCCACTTTAGGTCAACGGCCACAACGACATGGCGCTTGTCCATGTATTTGACGCGATCGTCAACATAAAATTCGCCCTCATTATTGGGGCTGGGCAACTTGAGGAGAGGCACCTTTGCGCCCTCCATCCCAATCATGATCTCCCCCCTGCAGACCTGCTCAGGTCGCATGGGAAAAACCGTGATGGCGAATTTGCCTGGCCTCCGGATGCACCTCGTTTTGAGGGCGGACCGATACTCGGCCATCGTCAGCAGCACGTATCCCGTATAAGGGACTTCCGCTGCTACCATCGGCCTGAGCAAAGGCCCCATTGGCGTTCGGTCACGCAGTGCCCAACGCTTGAAAACTTTGAACGGCACGTCCCTCCCGATTAGGGTGGACCGCGCAAAGAGCACCTCATTCGGGCGCTCAGACGTGCCATCTGTCCTCCAGACCTTCCGTATTAGGAGCTCGACTGGAGGGTACGATGGGTTCTCCTTTGCGAGAGCACCCGCCCAGGTCGCTACCTCGACACTCGTGCACTTGTGGATCCCGTATAGGGCCTCAAGTAGCGTTGAGATCAGTGTCATTGACATCCAACCTCCCAGAATGTCTGGAACCGTCCCAAACAAGAAGGGGGGCTGCTCACCGGGCTTCACGTTTAACCGCGTTGGGTCAGTGTTGCCCGACAAAACTTCTAGCAGCATTTGCGATTCCCTGGAGCTTCGTCCAATAAACGCCGACACATCCCTAATCTCGGGGAAAAAATGGAAGATGTCATTACCGGCAGGACAGGCGATTCTGCCTGCTATCCCGCTCTGCGCATCAATCATAATCTCCTCACCCTCGTATGTGAGGTTGTATGTGCTCGTGATCGGGCACACACCGGGCTTTGCCGTCAGTGCCTCTTCTAACGATGCACCTGCTGGGAGGACGCCCTGCACATGCGACTTGGTACCTATGGAACCAGTACTCGCTGACATAAGCCGATAATTTTCGGCGCGAAAGTATGGAAAAAGGTTCTTCATCCTCTCAATTTCCTCTTCAGTGGTGCGCCACGCCTTTGCCTCATAGTAAGGCGGCTCCTGCTTTGAGGGCACTAGGTCGCGGTCACCCATTGATGAGAATTTGTCCACATATGGGCCCATCCCATCATCATCTACATGACTCTCGTGATCTTCATCCGAGACGTACTCCTTGGGCGGCTCGCCCAGAGCGTCCAGATCGACCTTACCAAGGTCGACCAGCGCCGGAGAATCCAGGACTCTCTGGATCCTCATGAGCTCATTCCTAAACTGCTCAAAGCCTCCGGCCTTGTCAATCACGGAGGTCGGCATTACGCCCTCCCATGATTCCGGAAACATGCACACGTTCGTAGGGGAAAACTCATCATCGGAAATATCCCGATCACGCTCCCGTACGTCGCTGATTAGCGTCACGTCCAACGAGCCGCCTAGGGCCT